GGCTTTTCGGAAGGCAACGACACTGCGAGGCGAGAAACAAAAGAGCACCGGCTCAGCCAGCTTCTCAAACGATTGTTCTGGGAGATCCCTTCTGACACGACGCAAGGGGGATGGGCAGCGTGTGGCTGCACACAACCCGCTAGCCTGGCTCATGGCTTACTCCCTGCTGCCCTTTTCCTGGGGGGCCCACAGCCACTCCTGACCGCGGGCACCCCCGTTCATACTGACAGCCCCTGCCTGGCACACCCGTCCCACAGCACACGCCTGCTCTGGCCGGGGGTGTCCTGTGCCCAGCCGTGCAGTGGGGAGGGCCACAGCCTGCAGCCCCAGTTGCTCTCCAAGAGGCTGCAGAATGTTTTTCATTTTGACAGCTGAAGGCAACTCAGACATCTACAGTGTAGATCTCCCTGTGACCCCTCTGCGTGCAAAGGAAAGGATTACATGGGGTATTCCTGGAGAGAATTAGTGCCACCATCTGCAACTCAACTGCTAGAATGGCACACAGTGCCAGAACAAATGTCTCCTGAATACCCCAAACCACAAGCAATTGCTGATCTCTAACCCCCCCCAAAAAAAAACACCACCCCCAAGAAAACCCAAAACACACTGAAGACAGAGAGGAGAGTGTGTTACTTGAAGTGCCAAGTTTTTAAGAGACAAGATCCCCACAGGACAGACAACACTCACTCAGGGTCATCCTGGAAGTCTTGAGGCTCTGCTAGCTCATCATATTCTGCTGCAGCATCTTTGCCAGCCAGAATAAGCTCCTTGGGAGGAACTGCCACCTGGAACAGAGCACAAAAAGAAGCAGCTTTCAGCACTTGGCACCACCTATGCTGCGAGCAGGAGAGGGCCCTCCCCTTCTGAGGGCTGCTTTACTGCAGTTTAACAGAGAAGTGACTCATCCTGGGCTTTCCTCCACCCTGGCAGCTCCCAGTTACCCCTCCACCAGTGAAAACAGGTATTTCTCCCTTGGGCTCTGAATCTCAGTGAACAAGACACAATTTCACAATACTTTGAGCTCATATTTACATTAGTGACAGTCATTTGAACTCCAAGGAGGAAAATGCAACACAGTCAGCAGGGACTGAAGAACATAAGAGTGACCTGGGGAAGGATAAATGGGAGTGGAGAGCCCTGGAAGAGGCCTGGGCTCGCAGAGCAGGAGGACACAATACCTTGGCAGTGCTGTTGATGTTGTCAGGGTCTCCCTCCTCGCACTCCAGCAGTGTGACATGTGTGATGTTCTCCACGGGGTTGGTCAGAGTCAGGAGGACCTGGCTCTCCTAGGGAGGTTCAGGAATCACAGTTGAAGAATCAATTATTCTAAACCTCATCGTTACTGGTAGCACCTCCACCTTCTGTGACTGATCAGCACCTTCAAAAACTGCACCCCACACACTGAAGGGATGCAGAGCAGACACCCCCAGTCCGTCAGAAAGGCGCCAGTGCCAGGCAGCACTCCTTCTTAATAGAATAAAACCACATCTTTGGGATCCAGCCAAGATCTCGCCTCCACACCTCTTATTCTTGTTACTGGCGTGTGCCTGTGAGGCCAGACGTCACACTGTGGTCATCTGCCCACGCAGTGACAAGTACACACTGTTAATCCCAGCACTCTGTCCAACCCTGCACCCTCCCTAAACAGAGCAAAGCCCTCAGGGAACAACCATCACAACACACCCCCTCCCAAAAAGATCCCAGACCCACAGCTCCCGCTCTGTCTCACCCTAAGGCATTCAGTACTGACCTTCAGGTAGCGCAGGTTGGGAATAGACATGATCCTCACTTCAGGGATGTAGTTACTGCAAGAACAAAGCAAGTGACTGTGGTGGATTTGCCATCTGTAACCTGCCTCTTGAAGTACAGGGATGTCTTCACAGACATCCAGCTAACTGCTTCAGTGCCATCAGAGCTTAGTTTGCATTAAAATGAAAACTGGAGCGCCCTTTTGCCACAGAAATCTAATCCTACAAAATCCTGCTACCAGCTGAGGCTAGCACAGGTCTTTTTCAAAGGTTTCAAAAGCTCAAGGTCTTTTTCAAACTGCTGAAATCTTCAGCAAACATTTAAAATATCAGGAAGCAAACCTACTACAGATCAGCTAAATATATTAAAAAGGTGATTACGCCATCCTAAGAGACGACACAATCATACAAGAGGTCAAATTAAGGGTCCAAATGAAATTAAAAGACAAGGTATTAACTAAGCATGGATAGGTGTTTGTTCTCCCAGGCCCCTATATCTTACTTACACAGCAACCAGCTGGATCTTGAATTTGATAGACGTTGGATTGAATTCTGGTTTGCTCAGGTTATGTTCACATTTCTAGACACAGAGACAATTTAGTCAGCACTAGAAGACAGTGTGCAGTCCCACACTGCAGAATCAGAGCTGCCAGCACCATGTCACTAGTCATGACATCACCAGCCTCGGGCACAGCACACAGAAAAACTTCCTTGGGGTGCCTGTAGCCACTGCTGCTGCTGTCCAAAAATGTCATATCTGGCACTATTGGTGTAATCTCAGAAACGTGAGATTTGGAACCAGGCTTAAAAAACACTCAGACACTCCCTGACTGCAGTAGGAAGAAGACACAAATACCTGCAAGCCCTTTTCTTTATGCTCCAGAATCCACTGGAAAAAAACAAACAGCTGGAACTCAAGACTGATCTCCTCAGAGGCTACTCTACATGTACAGGGTCAGTCTGACACTATTTCTGAGAAAACATCTTGCATTCTGCATCTTACAATACTTAGAAGAATATTGCTCTATTGCTCTGGGAACCAGACAAGTGCCCCTGTTTCACTGAGAAAGCAAGCAGCTTTTTGAAGATCATGTAGTCAGCCAACAGCAGAACCTGGATTTAATTCTTGCCTATCTTCACCTCTCAGTTCTCTGAAATACCCTCTTTCTGCCTTCACTCTAAGGGCATCTTCAGTATTCTGCACTAATATTTTATTTGCTGACTTGATTTTTGTGTTCAGTAACAGCAGATTTTGAATCCCTACTGTGCCAGCAGCCTTCTCCAGTTCCTTGGCTAGACAGAGCACACAGACCCTTACCCAAACCCATCTTTATGCACCTCTGACAACGCAGTCCCTCTTTCAAAATCCTCATCACATCAGAGATGCAACCACCTCCTGGTTCCCACTCATTTGCCTGAGAACTCTGACCAGCCCAAGCCCTTGAGCGGTTTCTAGGCAGCCAATCGCTCTCCTCCCCACTCCCCACAGCCCCCGAGGGTCCAGCAGGCGCCGCTGCGACTCACCCGGCAGCGCAGGGAGCGCTTGATGAGGAGGTGCTTGTGGCGTGGGTGGAGCTGGGAGGCGCCGATGGGCTGGAAGTCCGGCTGCAGCAGGCGCTGCCGCAGGGTCGTCACTGCACACGGCGGGAAGCAAGACTGTCAACACCCTCCTGGGGCTGCAGAGCTCAGCTGGACTGCCCCCGGCACACCCCCACAGCAGGCTTTGGGGGGAAGGGACCTCTACGGGTCATCTAGTCCAACCCCCCTGCAGGGAGCAGGGACAGCTCCAACGAGGGCAGGATGCTCCGAGCCCAATCAAGGCTGACCTTGAATGTCTCCAGGGATGGGGCCTCCAGCACCTCTCTGGGCAACCTGGGCCAGGGTTTCACCATCTAAATCTACCCTGCTCTAATTTAAAACCATTGCCCCTCATCCTATCTCTCCATGTAACCAGTCCTTCCCCAGCTTTCCCATAGGCCCCCCTCAGGTACTAGAAGGCCACCATAAGGTCTCCTCAGAGTCTTCTCTTCTCCAGGCTGAACAACCCCAGCTCTCTCAGCCTGGCCTCCGTCCCTCAGATCAATTTTATGGCCCACTCCAACAGGTCCATGTCCTTCCTGTGTTGAGGGCTCCAGAGCTGGACACAGGACTCTAGGAATCAGAGCAGAGGGGCAAAACCATCTCTCTCAATCTGCTGGCCACGCTTCTTTTGATGGAGCCCAGTACACAATACACATACTGGACAGGCAGCCCACATGCCCTGGCCCAAGAGTAAGTGTGCAGTGTGCTGCCTGCAGGCTTGCTACGACTGCTGAGAAACTTCCTCTTACCCACACCCAGTAACCCAGAAGCCACTGGCAAGTACTGCTGCTTCTGGCAGTGAAAGAACAGAAGGGAAGAGCTGTACAAAGGGCTGCTCTGCCTGGGCACACTAGAGCCACATCGGTGCCAGCCCAGGAGAAATGAAGGACCCTGATCTCTATTCAGAGCTCAGCTGGGGTGGAGACAGAATTTGGTAATATCTAGAACACAAGTTCTTTCCCCACCAAGGGCAAATGAGTTCTCATAGCTTTGTTGCCCTCCCAGCTGGGCGCTGCACAAGTACAATATACAGCTTCTCAGCAAGGAGCTTGCATGACCACCTCACACAGTGACTACACAGCTCCCGAGGCAAAGCAGTCCCAGCAGCCAAACTTCCCATGGGTTTCTCCCAAAAAACTGGCTCCTCCCTGTCCCCAGTGTCTACGAGGCAGTGAGCCACCTGGCAGCCACTCCCTCACTGCAGGGAACCACAAAAGTTGCCTTCTTTACCAGCATCACCCTCTCACAATGCTGACAGCCTCCTGAGAAAAGGAGACCAAGATGATCTAGCCCTTGCCATAAACCTTTCATGAATTAATTAATATTGTCAGACTTTGTAGCTCTGCAGGTCTGACGAGAACCTCTGTCCTACGTAGAGCCACCTCAGCAGCAAGTCCACATTGCTTCCTGTACCTGCTGTTTTATCCCATTTGCTCCCAAGTTTCATGGACCAATTTACAATATCTGCTGATTAAATCACGAGCCAGCCAAAGAAATGGCAACCAAAGTAATGCACAATTGTTACTTAACAGGTCTGTTTTGTTTCCAGCTTCCCAGGAGCTCAACTACTTCCTTATTTCCTGCTATTATTTGAAGAAGGACGTCAGCTCTTTTCTCCATCCAAAAGTTGACACTTCACAGGCAGAGAAATTAAGGTCAGCAAGAAAATGAAATAACTGTTAAGAGGCCTGAGGGACTTGGCTCTGAGCTTTCCACATACAACTGAGGCTGCATTCAAAGTTACTATTTAAAAAGTCACAAATTTCCCAGCATTTCAATCCCAGCACAAAAATTACTAAAATCTTAGGCCATTAGGAACCCCATGAACATGTTTTCAAGCACTGCCCATGTTATAAAACATAAGGGCAAGAAGTGACAGAATATTAAGGTGTTACCTTCTGTCAGATTGATTGGTCTTGTGTAGTAATCCTCAGGAAGAGGTTCCACTTCTTCCACTGCATCAGCGGGCTCAATCTTGATCTCCTTCTGGTCCTCTCCCTCTTTCAGGCTGAAGTAAAGTGAGGAACAACTCAGTCACAAAACACAGCACACGTGCCCTGAGAGACAGCAACAGCAGTAACCGTGTTGTAATGTGGATGATGGTGAGAACTGAGCCTGCAAGACAACAGTGACTGCACAAGGACGTGAGCATTTGCTTCTTCCGACCGGCAGCACCCAAAGCTGCACGGAGAAGCCCCAGGACCCGACATCTCCCCGAGGCTCTGAAGAAAGCAGCTCTGTTTACTGCTATCTGCTCATACGTTCATCACCTTTCTGAAAGCTGCTTTATTCTCTCTTGCCTGTGCCTCCCACCCTCCCCACACAGGCCAGCCCCAAGACTCACGAGAGGCCGGCGAGGGCGCTGAGGGGTGCCCCGGGCCGCTGCCGCTGCAGCCGCGTCCCCAGCCCGTACTTGTCCTGCCAGGAGAAAAGGAACTGTCAGCTTCAGCTCTGCTTCCTGCCAGCACAGAGACCTACTGCAAACTCATCCTTTGAGCTGCATGACAAGCAGAGGGAGACAAGCAAAGGAAAGCAGATAGGGAAAAACATTCAGTGCTTCCCCCATTTATTTTTCTCTTTTTTTCCTCTGCTCTGTTAGTAAGGAGAAAACAATCACCTGCAGACAGGGACACAGACATACATGGCTACTGTTTACAGAGCTTCTGCTCTTTCCTTACATCACCAGCCTGCACTACTGACACATTTTTCCCTTGATCTTCTCTTCAGAGCAATGGCACGCCAAGCAGTGCAGAATGAGCTCTCGACTGCCAGCAGAAGTGGGTCGACGTGGGGACGTGTCCACCTGGAACGCTCTGCAGCACTCCTGGAGGCAGCAGGGAGGTTCACCCCCCCCACAGCCTCCTGAGGTCTCACCTATCTCCTCAGAACTACCTCAGCTACCCCCTGGCTTTCTACAGCTGAACTGTGCACAGGGAGCCTAGAGGCAGAAATCTTCCTTCTGGGCAGGACTCAAAACATGAATTCTCACCAAACAAATCTGAGCATCAGCCTACCCAGGGGATGTTTCAAGGACCAGAAGTTTAATGCTCTTTTCCTCAGGCAGACCGACGGCTGAGTCTCAGCCAAGCTTGGTGAAGGTTGGCTTTCCAAGTGTATGTTACTTACCCAAAGACACTGCCCTGTTTGTAACCTGACAAAGCCCAGGGTTTGTAACAAACCTCACCCTCTAACCAGCGGGCCTTCACCTGCATTTGTTCTGGACTCATCCAAGCCAGAGGCCCTGTGGCACGGTGCAGAGCAGGACCTGGTATTCCCCTTCAGTTGGTACCATGAGAGCTTTAACACCAGCAGAAACTGTGAGAAGACTTACCACTACGTGTATAGTGTGTTGCTGCGGAGAGCCCCCAAAATAGCAGCAGGTAGCAACGGAGACAAAAAATGCAGCCATAAGACACAAGCAAGGGCAGAAAGCAAGCACAGTTAATTGAGAAGTAGCAAGCATTGCAGAGTCACCCAGCTAAATGAAGTAAGCACTGACCTGCCAGCTACAATAAACAAGTTGTTCAGGCCACAATTGAGTCTTTAGCTCAATTTCGGTTGAGACTTCATGCAGAAAAGCTCCTGACCAGCCTGATCTAACTATTACAGAGCTGTGCTGAGGAAGAGCTACCACTGGTATCCTGACTGGCTGCCCTGTGCTTCACTGCTGAGTAACACACCTCTCTGCATGGCACATGTAAACCCTCCTGGCACTATCAGAGAGGACTATGAGAGAAACAGGCGATGGAATACATAACAACTGGTGTAAAACTGCTCATCCCTAAAGAAGCCCATGTGCCCTCACGCATTTTCTTCACGTTCTCTGTTTAAAAAAACAGCCAAGCAGCCCTACTGTGCTCCCAGCTATCCCATCTGAGGGTGCTGTGCATGGCTCCTGCCCCCAGCTCACCGAAAAGGCCAGGGGCATGTAGTTTCGGCGTCGCACCAGCTTCTTTCGGTCCCGCTCGATCTTCTCCTTCTGAGCCAGCTGCTGGTAGTACTCCACCAGCTTGTTAATCTGGGGGGATGGAAAGGAACAGATGCCCAGTGAATGGGGAACCGAGGCCAGACCAGCTGCAGCATTTGTTTGTGAGCAAACCGGGGTTCCTGCTACAGGTTTCATCCTGCTCCTAGTGGCAGCTGTACTTTGAAGGATATACATTAAAGAAGCCTGTGTGTTTTAAACCATGCTGTGGGTGACAAACTGACTCTTCTCTGGGAACAACATCTATTGGAGAGCAGAGTCCAAGCCTCACTTTGCAACCAGGCAACTGAGGCTTTGTTCATGCATCTGTGACAACTGGACAGAGTACATCATGTGGCCAAAAATGAGCAGTTTGAATTAGTGGAGCAAACAGCATCTTTTTTCCCCCCCCAACAAAGGCTGATCACATTTAGTGTGGAGCCCTATCTGGTGACAGGGAAGGGCAGTAAAGGTGCAGTTCTGTTTCCCAGATCCTAGACACACTCTTGGTCGGAAAACAGCTTTTGTTCACATACATACGCAGCAAATTCACTGGTGTTTTAACAGCACCATTAGATAGGATGTTTGCAAATGAGTTTCTTCTGAAAAGGAGATTTTATACTGCGACATCCATGGAGAGCCTCTAAGAGGCCATCCTTCCATTGAATTCAGTCAAGGTGGAGATTAGGAGCTGGAACTGGCATCTAAAGGATTATATAGATGCAGAAAAAGTGATTGAGAGGGTCTGGCACCTCTAACAGCTCTTTCCAGCTGAAGTGTCTCAGCCTAAGCACAGCCTTCCCCTTCACTCACCCTCTGTGTGTGAGGATTCTCCGGCTCCTGCCAGCCACCACTAGCTGTGTGAGAAAGAAAAAGACAAAGTCCTCAGGAGGAGCCTTCCAGACACCACACAGAAATCACATTAACACCCACCTATCTCAGTTGTACTCGTGAAGTACAACACTCCCTATTTTTGCCACATTTGCCACTGCGATTCATTCAGCTCATGCCTGCACAAATACACACCTCTGAAAGCTTTTCACAGGCAGGTTTGGGCTGAAGGCACTTCACCAGCTTTTATACTGTGGGCTTTTTTTGAGAGAGAGATTCAGGACAGCACCCAGGAGCTACTTTTAGCAGTTCCCAGTCTTCATTCACATCAACACTGGAAGTTGATCCAAGAGGATCTGCTTGGTCTACTCAGCTCCATTTCTGGAGCCACAAAGATATTTTTTGTATGTCTTACACACCAAGAAATAAATAAAAGCTTTGTTCCAGTGCTGTCATGAAGAGAAGAGCCAAGTACAAATGCTGACTAGCAACCCTAGAATAAGCCTTAAGTGAACAAAAGTGATGGAAAATAAATGAGACACTTATGCTGTCAGACCAAGCAGCTTCAAAGTCTCTGAAGGCACACAAACAAGATCTCAGCTGTGGGGAGGGTGCACCAACTAAAAAGCCCCAGGTCTGACAGCTTTCTCACTAGTCAGGTAACACGGGCATGGAAGTAGGTCACACATTCCACTAACTCAGCTCAGCTCTTCAGCACCAAGCTGTGTGTCTGTGAGTTTCCAGCTGTGACTCAAAACCCAGCCAGATACCACCTACCTCACACGGCCCAAAACGAACTTAATTACCTGTTACCTTCAGAGCACACACTGGGCTCCTGCCATGACTCAGTTTTCTGTCTTTGACTGCCACTTACCAACAGACTTGTCTGCCATGCCCACGTCCCGGGAGGTCCAGCGGCAGAACCCACAGGCCAGGTAATATGCTTTTTTCATGGTAGTCTTGGCCCAGGAATGCTGGTGGCCCGGGTGGAAAGGGTGTGCATGCAGCAGGGGCAGTCAAAGCAGTTTGCACACCTGCAGAGAAGAAAGCCTGTAAGATAATGCTCCAACAAGGGTCCCCCAGGCCAAGGAAAACGCCCTCAATGAGCACATGAAGATTAAATGATCAGATCTGTTCATCTCACGCAGCAGCACTAGGGAAAAAGGGCAATGCAGCCAAGAGTGGGAACAGGAGCCAAGAGCAGAAAGGCAACACTGACAAATCCTGGGTGATGCTAAAATACTCTGTGTATTATGAGAGCAGGTCATCAAAACCAGTAGAGCATGAAAAGCACTTGATACGTCAAGGAAAGACACTTATTCCCCAAAACAAATTAAAAGGTAACATGAAGCAATGTGATTTTTGAAGGGAGTTTCGAATACACACGGCCAGGTACAGATTAAGGAATGAACTGTCTAAAATTGGGTGTTTTGATGAAATAAAAAAAGCCAAAGCAACCTTACCTGTTCTTTTTCAGCTTGGCTTCAGCTGAAGGCATGTTCTCCAGGCAGCTGGGGCAGTAGTGAGAGTCCACCTGATGAACGAGAGGGTCGCATCACACTTGGTGGCACAGTTTGTCTAGACAGCGTGCTGGCAGCAGCCTGGAACTCTGCTGCACCATTTAACAAGGCTTGTGTCTGGCCCCAGACAAGTCAGGGAAGACTTGACATATTTTTTGGTATTTGAAATCTTAGCCCATCTCTGCCAGATTTTAATCTTTAATAATGTAAGTCAGAAGGTTCTCAAGTCTGGATTATCTTAAATGGGAAAAGGACATCTGGGTGCTGACCTCTTCCAGTTACCAGAATTTCATTTTTCAGCTTAAACAATAGGTTTTAATGTGCTATTTTCCATTTATACCTACATTTATTCTGCCCTGGTAGTTACCCTGGTCAGATGAACACAGATTTCATTAAAGCCTTGGCATCTGTCTGCTGTCACAAACTGATTGTGACAAGTAAAACAAGAGAAGCAAGAAGGGGGTCCCCTTCCTGAAAGGGAAACAAACTTATGCAAAGTCCTGCACCTGGGTCAGGCCAATCCCAGGAACAATCACAGTCTTGGTACAAAGTTGGTTGAGAGCAGCCCTGAAGAGAAGGACTTGGGGGTGTTGGTTGATGAGCTCAACATGAGCTGGCAGCGTGTCCATGCAGCCTGGGAGGCCAACTGCAGCCTGGCCTGCATCAAGAGGGGTGGGCAGCAGATCAAGAGAGGTGATTCTCCCCCTTTACTCTGCTCTTGTGAGACCCCACCTTGAATACTGCATCCAGTTCTGATGTCCCCACCATGAAAGGGACATAGAGCTGTTGGAACGAGTCCAGGGGAGGCCACAAAGATGACCCAGGGGTTGGAGCATCTCTGCTATGGGGATAGGCTGAGGGCACCAGGATTGTTCAGCCTGGAGAAGAGAAGACTCTGGGGGGAACCACATAACTGCCTTCCAATACCTGAAGTGAACCTACAAGAAGGCTGTAGAACGACTTTTCTACAAGAGTGTGTGGCAACAGTACAAGGGGAAACGGTTTTTAACTGAAGGAGAGCGGATTTAGATTAGATCTTAGGAAGCAGTTTTTCAGCAGAAGGGTGGTGAGACTCTGGAACAGACTGCCCAGAGAGGTTGTGGAGGGCCCCTCCCTGGCTGTGTTGTAGGCCAGGCTGGATGAAGCCTCAGGCAACCTGGTCTAGTTGAGAGTGTCCCTGCCCATGGCAGGGAGGATGGATTAGATGATCCCTGCCGGGTGTCCTTCCCACCCCCAGCCACTCTGATTCTGGTTATCAGTAAGCGGGGAAGTGCACAATGAGTGCCCTCGCCACACTATGGAGGATTCGTGGCGGCTGAGGCCCAGTGACAAATCTATTTTCTACTCTTCAGAGGCGTGACCACTTCTGAAGGAACACCTCTTCGAGCTCCACGTTGCACAGTCATCCTTTAAGGCTTTTCGAATTCATGACCGTTTCTTACTCCACCCAGCGTTCCCCAAAGCCCACACTCCCGATTTCATCCCGAAC